CCCATCTCTACTTAAAATACAAAAAATTAGCTGGGCGTAGTGACGCATGCCTGTAATCCAGGCTACTCAGGAGGCTGAGGCAGGAGAATCTCTTGAAACCTGGGAGGCAGAGGTTGTGGTGAGCCGAGATCGAGCCACTACTCTCCAACCTGGGTGACAGAGCGAGACAAATGACCTGTATATAATGAAAAAATGTCAATGCACCCAATGCTTACAATGTGACATGGTGTCTGAAGCATTAGCTTTGGTGTCAGATCTGCCTGGGTTTGAATCCCACTTTGACCACTTGATTATTTGTGACTCTGAGAGGGCAAGACTGAATATTTTGTTTGTTTGTTTGTTTTTTGAGACGGAGTCTCACTCTTGTTGCCCAGGCTGGAGTGCAGTGGCATGATCTCGGCTCACTCCAACCTCCGCCTTCCCGGGTTCAAGCGATTCTCCTGCCTCAGCCTTCCAAGTAGCTGGGATTACAGGTGCCCACCACCATGCCCAGCTAGTGTTGTGTTTTTTGTGTTTTTTTTGTATTTTTAGTAGAGACGGGGTTTCACCATGTTGGTTAGGCTGGTCTCAAACTCCTGACCTCATGATCCGCCTGCCTCAGCCTCCCAAAGTGCTGGGATTACAGGCATGAGCCACTGTGCCCGGCCAAAACTGAATATTTTCACACTTAACCTTTAATGCCTAGCGCTGTTCTTGGCATATAATAAGAACTTGATAAATATTTGGTGAATGAATGAGTTAACTTCTCTGCATTCTTCAGCATGAAATTAATCATACTCCTTCGGCAGTATTTTGCAGTTCAAGTGAGAAATTGTTTGAGGGACTTCACACAGGATGCAGTAAATAGCAATAACACAACAAGTGTAGTAACCCTTTATTATTATATATGTGAATACCCATTCTCTAATTATGGCATTCTGGCTGTATATACTGTAGAGTGACAAAGGGATAGACATTTATAGCTTTTTGAGTTTTGTGCATGTGTATGTACACATGTGTGAGTGTTTTTTTCTTTTTCTTTTTTTTTTTTTTGAGATGGAGTCTTGTTCTGTTGCCAGGCTGAAGTGCAATGGCACAATCTTGACTCACTGCAGCCTCCGCCTCCCAGGTTCGAGCGATTCTCCTGCCTCAGCCTCCTGAGTAGCTGGGACTATAGGCACGCGCCGCCATGCCTGGCCAATTTTCGTATTTTTAGTAGAGACGGGGTTTCATCATGTTAGCCAGGATGGTCTTGATTTCCTGACCTCGTGAGCCGCCCACCTCAGCCTCCCAAAGTGCTGGGATTACAGGCGTGAGCCACCGCACCTGGCAGTTTGCATGTTTTTAAGTGGCAGCTTTCTCACGTATTTTCTTCCCTCTAAGGATGGAAAGGAGGGAATCTACTATAAATGTTCAGACTTTTCACTGGAACCAAACAAATCCATTGGGGAAGTGAGGGAGTGGACAGTGAAGATAAAGGAATGATTAAGCTGCTATGTTCAAAGTATTTTTTTTAAGACTTTCTTATCTAGCATAGAGAGGCTCTGTTATGTTTGTAACTCCTATCTAGAATTGATGTATCTATCTATATTCATTCAACAAATGCTTATTGATGACTCTATGCTAGGCCCTGTCCAAGACATGGGTAAAGTAAGAGTTGTAGCTTACTCTTGAGAAACTACGGATAAAAGAAGCCAAATAGTTGAAAAGTTGAGTGGTTTGACAGGTTTTTTTAAAATGAACTTTAGTAAATTCTTTATAATGGGATAGAATTTAACCTACTTAGTTTACTTGTAAGTCTTTTGCTTGCTAAAGACAATACTTTCTAATCTTTTTGGAAAGCCACTTAAATATGTCTTTTGAAGAATTCTTTTTATTTAAACATGAAATATATTTAAAAACACAGTCAATTATTAAGGAACTGATTTCAGTATTAAATTGAGAATAACCACAAACACATTTTGACATAAGGAGTTTGAGCCTCAATTTTTCATTGAATAGGAACAGAGGAGTTTTTTCAAAGCAATCCTGCTTAGTTTTAATCTACTTTCTTTACTTTTGAAGGAGATGGATGAACACATGCGGAGCATGTTGCATCACAGGGAACTTGAGAACCTGAAGGGCAGGTATGGGAATGGCTCTCTTCCGTAAGTTTGTGAATGTGGGTGGATCTGAGTGATGATGGTGCCTGTCAGTTTGTTTTGCAGTAATCCATCATAAGCAAATGTTGTCTTATGGTGTAGAACAATCTTTTAGAATTAATACAAAGTATAGTAGATTTTTGGCATTCAAAAGAAGAAAAACTCTGATACCTTTGGGCATCTCAAATATGTGAATTTACAGCGGCCCTATCGAGTAGATTACAACAAAGGTCAGTTGGGATGAGCTAACTCTCTCATTAGTAAGCTGTGTCATTCCTACCTGCCAGCCTTACAACTAGGGCATTTTGTATTTTTACTTCAGTAGTGTTACACATTACTGCATGCCATAAACATTTAGTATTGCTGAAATTGTCTGAGACATCCAAAGTCTGCTAGATAGCACTGAATCTCATTGGTATAAACAAAATTGAAATATAAACCTTGAGTGTATTTAAGAATGCTGGCCAGGTACAGTGGCTCATGCCTGTAATCCCAACACTTTGGGAGCCCAGAGTGGAAGGATTACTTGAACCCAGGAGTGTGAGACCAGCCTGGGCAACATAGCAAGACCTTGTCTCTACAAATAAAGAAATTAGGTGGGTGTGGCAGCTAATAGCCTGTGGTCCCAGCTATTTGGGAGGCTTAGGTTGGGAGGATCACTTGAGCTTAGGTAGGTCCGGGCTACAGTGATTGGGCCACTGCCCTCCTGCCTGGGTGACACAGTGAGACCCTGTCTCCAAAAAAAAAAAAAAAGAAAAAAGAATGCTGTTCTGTGATTTAAAGCTTGAACTGTTTAAGGAAAGGAAATCTAAAAGTGGACACCTTTAAAAAATGAAATGTAGGCCGGGTGCAGTGGCTCATGCCTGTAATCCCAGCATTTTGGAAAACTGAGCCAGGCAGATTGCTTGAGCCCAGGAGTTCAAGACCAACCTGGACAACATGGGGAAACCCCATTGTATTAGTCTATTCTCATGCTGCTAATAAAGACATACCCGAGACTGGGTAATTTATAAAGGAGGGAGGTTCAATTGACTCACAGTTCCACATGGCTGGGGAGGCCTCACAGTCATGGCGGAAGGTGAATGAGAAACAGAGTTACATCTTACATGGCAGCAGGCAACAGAGCTCGTGCAGGGGAATTCCCATTTATAAAACCATCAGATCTCCTGAAGCTTATTCACTACCATGAGAACAGTATGGGGGAAACTGTCCCTATGTTCAGTTATCTCCACCTGGACCTACCCTTGACATGTGAGGATTACTGCAATTCAAGGTGAGATTTGGGTGGGGACACAGCCAAACCATATCACCTGTCTCTATGCCCTACCCCACAAAAAACTCCAAAATTAGCTGGGCGTAGTGGTGTGTGCCCATAGTCCCAGCTACTCATCAGCCTGAGGTAGGAAGATACTTGAACCTGGGAGTTGGAGGTTGCGGTGAGCCAAGATCACACCACCACACTCCAGCCTGGTGACAGAGCCAGAACCTGTCTCAAAAAAAAAAGTAGCATGTGTGTGTATTCCATGTCTTTTGTCTGTTTGTGATTTCTTTTTTTTTGATGTATTTGACTTCTGTCAGTTTGAAGTTTGGAAACAGGATAGATGGAGAAACATTGGGAACCTAGGAAATAGGCATTATATCTTATCCCATGAATAAAAGTTACAAGTTTTTTTTTTTTTTTTTCTTTTCTTTGAGATGGAGTCTCACTCTGTCTCCCAGGCTGGAGTACAGTGGTGCCATCTCTGCTCACTGCAGCCTCCGCCTCCTGGGTTCAAGCAACTCTCCACCCTCCTGAGTAGCTGGGATTACAGGTGTGCGCCACCACGCGTGGCTAATTTTTGTACTTTTAGTAGAGACGGGGTTTCACCATGTTAGTCAGGCTGGTCTCAAACTCCTGACCTTGTGATCCACCCGCCTCGGCCTCCCAAAGTGTTGGGATTACAGGCGTGAGCCACTGTGCCTGGCCAATAGTTACAAGTTTTGATCAGGATGTCAACCTAGGTTATTTGAAATTTATTTTTTTAGGCCGGGCGCGGTGGCTCAAGCCTGCAATCCCAGCACTTTGGGAGGCCAAGATAGGCGGATCACGAGGTCAGGAGATCAAGACCATCCTGGCTAACACGGTGAAACCCCGTCTCTACTAAAAAATACAAAAAACTAGCCGGGCG